TATAAAACGAAAAGTATAAAATAATAAAGTAACATAAAAATAATAAAATAATATATATTTTTCTAATGTAAGTATATAAAATAAAACAAAATTAATAAAATATAAATATATAATTAATTGAGTTGATGTTTATAAAAAAAATGATTTACACAATTTCCAGGCAATCAACATCCCCTACTAAGGGGTGTCATTAGCACTCCTCTTTTTTAGGATCTGAAATAAGTTTGTTCCTGTAATTATGTTAAACTCTACTCTAAAATAAATTAAAAAAATAAGAGAATGAATAAATCTCCAAGTTTGGAGAAAGATAAGAGGCATTATAGCACACCTGTTGGAAGTGTCCTAGAAGATTTTTTTTGAAGTATATAATATTTGTATACGACAAATAGAACAAATAAACTCACACACCCTTCTCACTTTTGGTGAGGTTTAAATATTTGATCTTCTATGAGACCAATGACTCACATTTAAAGTATATAGATTCTTTTTTTTTAAGTACCAGGAGGTATCAGGTTCAAATCCAATGAGAAATAGAAATCCCCTTGTAGCCACGGAGGTTCAAATGCGGTGACTCCAGGCTATCTGCAAAGCAGGTGGTAGCCCTAGGATTAGTCGGCTCGCATAACGGGTTGGATATCCAGATTAATCAAAAAAAATTATTCATTTATTTTTTAATTACTTTTCTTTATTAGAAATAAATTACTTTGAAAGACGACCAAATATCTAACCATCTTGACGATATCAAATACCAAATTTAAAATAGCATATCAAATCTTACATTGAATTTGATATTTAAAATAGCTTATCAAAATAGATATTATAAAGTAATTTATTTTAAAATTATCAAATATTTTTTTCTAAATTTTTGTGATATCTATTTTTGGATGTTGCATAGAAACGATAATTTCTTTTAGATTTAAACATTAATATTCGTAACGAGGGACTCTTTCTGTTTATATCCTTTTCTTGTTGACGTGTTGTTTCTTGTTTTGCCTTTTTGATTCATTCTCTTTCGGATTGGCTTTCTTGTTTTTCTCATTCCTTTTATCTAAAAAGACTGAACAGCCGAACGAATCAACGTGAAGAATATGTTGGACAAGAAAATTTCCAATCGGATTTTTAGTTTGAAGTTATAAAAGAATTCTACAAAGTATGAATTCGGTTCCGCGAAATGGCGACCCGTTTTGAGACATGGGAAGGCAACCCGATTGGGAGTCAGAGGATCCATAGTTATTATCAATAAGTTAGCAAATTTACGAATATAACCATATCAGAATGCTTTGATAAAAGCACGAAAAATCCATGCCTGAAGAAAATAATGGAAATATAGAAAAACAACTTACAGAAAATGAGCTTTAAGACGGGTTTTTAACAAGCCCGTGGTCTTTTGAGTTTACATTCGACGTTTTCCTACGTTCAATCGACTAAATTCAGTGTCATGATAGATCAATAAAAATCCTTGGATCAAACTTCGGATCGTGTGAGAACATTTCCCAGAAGTAGTATTATCAATCGTATAATTGTGGGATGATGCAAAACTATACTACTGATTTTAAGCAAAAAACGAGAGTAAAACATAGAGAATCTGTTGTGTTTCATATGTTTGAAGAGAACGAAATCCTATATAAACGTCAACCAACAATCATTTTGGCACGAAGGTAGTTACTTTGGCACTAAAAAGGTAACCAAATAACCACCAACAGATAAGAACAATTTCTAGTTACCTGGATAAACAAGTTGATCAACATCGCTTATTAGTGTGACTTCAGATCATTGCTCCAATCTCAATGCCTCAAGTGGCACGCAAGGCGGCACGACCCCATGACCCAACTACTCTCCGGTTTCGGGATCAAATTTGCTTGTGTTATAGCTTAACCTTACCCCCTTGGTCTCATATAAATCTCAATTACATAAAAAATTATCGATAACACTAGAACCATCAATAATACATAGATGAAAACCAAACGAAATCAGTGAATCTCACTCGAAAGCAGGTTGAGAATTGAGATATATACAGACATGTCTTCTACTCCAAAAAGTATAACATGTGTTTCCATGAAGAACCTCACTCATGAAAATGCCCCATCCAATTGCCAAGGATCCTAAACTCTTTAAGTCGTCCAAATCACATATTTTTCTAGAAGATCCTGAAACGCACTCGAGGGATGAAACTTCTGTCCCCATCGACACACCCTCGTAGACCTTCAAACTGTACCACTTGAGAACTGGCACAGAGCACATAAAAGAGCATATTGACATGTGTGCATATACCTAAACCACTTCAAAGTATCAACAGGATCTAGTTGCCAGCCGGCAGCCCCAAACGGACAAACCATTAACCACCAACTTTGGGCATTTAAAACCAATGTATATGAATGATTCCCACATAAAGCCATGGATCAGATAACAGTTCCACATCGTATATAACGGCAAAGGCCAAAGGTATCTTACATAATACATCACAAGTTTGCCAGCATAGTACAGCTTCTAGATAATACCTTTGTAAATCTAATCCAAGCATACGACCTTGTCTCAAGTGTTTGTTCAGTAGTGTTAGAATCCCACATCAGCTAAACCTTGAACCATTTCTTATATATATATAGAGATAGATAGATATGTTGGAACTTCCCTTCTAATCTCAAGAGCTCCTTTGTAGAGTAATCTAATGAGGTTTCACATATTCTCACATGGTATCAGAGTCGTGTTTGTCTAGCTACTATGGACAATCTGTGTCTTTTAGCCTCGTGTTGGAGTTCCACACAGGGTAGAGTTGGACCATTTCTCCCTTCTCTCCTAAAGGGTTTTATTGAAAAATAATCTAATGGGGTTCTACATATTCTTCCAAGTAGCATGTAACAAAAGCAGAAATAAAACCACCTCTTAAACGGTAAAGAATATGCTTTTTTGTAACACAACATGATTTGGCATATGGTGTATGTCACCATCTAAAGGAGAAAGGAAAACTAAAGCATCTATAAATACACAAAAGGAAATAGAAGACAACAGAAAGAAGGTGAAAACATGATTAGTTCATGAGACAAGATCCAAAAGAACAGATCAGATGGAAAAGTTTGCCCAGAGAATGGAAAAAGACAATGTATCATCAAGCAAACCTGAAAGCAGCGAGAAGAGGAGGATGCCACCAGGGTTATTAGGAACGATTGCAGAACATGCAGATTGGGTAGATATTGTTTTAATGACTTTGGGGACAGCAGGGTGCATTGCAAATGGATTAAGTATGTCGTTGATCATGTTAGTCCTCAGTCGAATGACGAATAGCTATGCATCTATGGCTTCCATAAACCCTGCTGATATAAATCAGGTTAGTTCAGCATTAAAAGATAATAATTGCAACTAATAATGTTTGTTGTCTACAAATCATCATGTTGCATGTTGTTATGTGATTAAGTTTGTTTCTTTTTGCAGTATGCACTCACCTACATGTATGTTGCTATTGTTGTGGGTTCAGGAGCATTTATAGGTACTTTCATCTTCTTTTATAGAGTAGTGTAAAAAGAGCTTATTACATTTGATTAATAGACAGAAATGATTAAGTAGAAAGATTAACCAAACCAAACAAACCTGGTATGTCCTACCCAGAGGTGGGGTCTGGGGGTGAGATGTACACATATGTGGCCTCTATCACCGAAGAGTAGAGCGGCTATTTCTGTGAAGAAGTAGAAATATGATGTTGGCTGAATAAATAAGTAGAAAGATGATGTTTCCTAAATAAATAATAGAAGAGAGTTTCAGATCTCATTGATTTTGAGCAATTCGTTATGGAGAACTCCTGAAACATGATATATCACCATTCATTATGCAAGATACATCTTCTTACCCCCGAGGCTAAAGCCACAGGGACCCATTCACATAACTTTGTATCATAGAAACATGACGGTATCTGAAACCATTTACTTTCTGATAAAGAGTATTCTCTGATTTAGCAAATGTAATAAACAGAGAGTTATAGATCAGCAAATCTTTTGAAGAGATAATCCAGGATGGAAGTAATTCTCATTTATGAAATAAGCACATCAAAATAACTTAACTTTACAATAACTGTCCTCAGAGTAACAAGTTTCCTAAATTTAAGCATCTTTATATTATAATCTTCATCTGCAAAAATAACAAAAGTTCTGTAATCATGCGTTGACATTCAACAGAAGGGTTCTGTTGGGGACATACTGCAGAAAGGCAATCATCACGGATGCGCATTAAATATTTAAAAGCAGTTCTACGGCAAGAAATTGGTTACTTCGATAATACTCTTGAAGCATCCCGTGTAGTCACAAATATCTCAACTGATATCTCAATAAACATTCAAGGAGTTCTTAGTGAAAAGGTCTTGTAACTTCTCTGCACCAGTTTCAACATACTTTTCTTTTGAAGTATATATTTATATACGACAAAACTCACACATCCACCTCACCTTCGGTGCTTGAACCCCCGGCCTCTAGGGAGGCTGGGATCTACCAGTTCCCCGGATACCATGGGCCAATGACCCTTTTGTCAGTTCCAACATACTTCTTGCATGGTATATCTAAAAAAAATTATTCTAACACTGAGACAGATTCCGGACTTCATTGCGAATCTATGGATGTTCGCAACAGCTGAATTAACTGCTATGTACCTCTGTTGGAGATTAGCTATTGTGGCCCTCCCTGCTATGTTTGTGCTGATTCTTCCAGGAGTAGTCTACGGAACTCTTTTAGCCAAAAACGAAGAGAAGCTACAGGAAGCTTATGCAGTTGCTGGAGGGATAGCAGAGCAGGCCTTTTCTTCAATTAAGACAGTTCATTCATATGCAGGAGAGGAAAGGATGGTGAATCGGTTTTCAACTGCATTAGGACCGACCCTAACCCTTGGGATTAAACAAGGTCTATTGAAGGGAATGGCTTTCGGTAGCATTGGAATCATATTTGCTATTTTTGCACTTATGAGTTGGTATGGGAGCATCTTGGTCATTGAAAAGGGAATCAAAGGTGGAGATATTCTCAGTGCTGGTGTATGCATTGTCTATGGAGGATTGTAAGTATATGACTAATATCCTTTATCTTCCTAGAGCTTATAACAAAACATAACAAAGAAACTAAATATAACTTTCACTAAATCATTCTCCAGTGGTCTTGGAGCTTCATTGATGAATATAAAGCATTTTGCTGAAGCCAAGATTTCAGCAGCTCTTGTTAGCAAAATGATAGACAGGGTTCCAAGCATAGACTCAACAGATGAGCAAGGTGAAACCATATCTGCGGTTAAAGGTGAGTTGGAGTTCAGAGATATTGACTTTGCATACCCATCAAGACCAGAAAGCTTGGTTCTAAAAAAATTCAACCTCAAGCTGAAGGCCTACCAAACTGTTGGATTGGTTGGTCACAGTGGCTCCGGTAAGTCAACAGTGATCAATCTGCTAGAAAGATTCTATGATCCCACTGAGGGGGGGATATTACTTGATGGAATTAGCATAAAGTCGCTCCAGTTAAAGTGGTTACGTAGTCAGCTAGGTTTAGTAAGCCAGGAGCCTATACTTTTTGCAACCTCGATCAAGGAGAATATTATATTCGGCAAAGAGGGTGCGACAGACGAGGAGATCGTTGAAGCAGCTAAAAAATCCAACGCACACAACTTCATCACACAACTACCTAATGGGTACAATACACTGGTAAGTACTACTTCAATCTGCTGGCATTGCTCATGTGCATTTCGTGAACATAGTACATCGCTTTATAGAATAGCAAAATGTATATTGTCCCAAAACACTTCCGTTTTGTGATGTATCAAACCTTGAGGGCCAGCTCGACTTGCAAATAGAGGCTAGGCCTTGGGACACTCCTCCCATAAGGCACCACTTCAAGTCTCCTCAGGGCCAATGAGGATTTTCCTCGCTGTTATCGTCAGGGCCCCGTGGGATTAGTCAAGGTGCGCGCAAGCTGGCCTGGACATCCACAGTTACCAAAAAGAAATGGTGGAGGTCCATGTCCCTTTCCACCCTTCCTAGAATTAAACATCAAAGAAGATGTTTTCTGCGCCCCCCCCCCCCCCCCCAAAGTAATAATGTGATATACCATGTTTACTTTCCTTTCTGTATATTTCTGCAACTACCAAAATATCGTAAAAGATGCTAATCTTCTATCCTACTTTACTAAGGTCGGAGAATTGGGAACTCAGATGTCAGGAGGGCAGAAGCAACGGATTTCCATTGCAAGGGCACTGCTTAGAGAACCGAAAATCTTGCTTCTGGATGAAGCCACTAGTTCTCTGGACTCACATTCTGAGAAGGCAGTACAGGAAGCTTTGACTCATGCCTCAGTTGGAAGAACAACAATAGTCATTGCACATTGTTTATATGCTATCCGCCATGCAGACTTAATTGTTGTTATTAAATCAGGGGAAGTAATAGAGTCTGGTTCACATGACGAACTAACTCGTAATACTTGTGGATCATACTCGATCATGGTGTCGCAACTGAAGACAATGGTCGTGGATGGTAAAACTCAACCACCATCTGAAGGAATTGGAGTGAAAATCCTAGAATCTCCAGGTAGAGATGCTACAACTATGGCAGAAGAAACAATAAACGGACAAAAACTAACTGGATCCCATCTCAAAGAAGTGAAGAACCAACAGTCAGATGAAGAATACATACGTCCATCCTGGTGGCACCTGATGCAGATGACTGCACCTGAATGGAAGTCAACTCTAATGGGCAGCATTGGTGCTCTTATTAGTGGATCGGTTCAACCATTGATTGCTCTCTTTCAAGCAGCAATGCTATCTATATTTTTTCTCAAAGATCATGATGAAATCAGGTCTCAAACAAGAACATTATGTTATGCATTCATAGCCATATCTGCCTCTGCTATCATTGCCAGTGTGATTCAGCATTACTTTTTTGGAGTGATGGGAGAAACTTTAACAAAGAAGATCAGATTAGCAATGTTTGAAAGGATCATGAGTTTTGAGATTGAGTGGTTTGATCAAGAAAACAACAGTACTGGAGCCCTCTGTTCAAGACTTTCTACGGATACACTAATGGTAAGGAATCTTGTGGCGGACCGATTGGCATTCTTCGCCCAGTCAATCTCAGCCTCTATTTTAGCAATCACTTGGGGATTGTTATTGTCTTGGAGACTAGCTCTTGTAGCTATCTCTTTGCAACTATTCATCGTTGGCAGTTTCTACTTGAAATTAGTGATGACAAGGAACATGTCCAAGAAAATACTGCATGCACAGAACAAGAGCAGTGGAATAGCAAGTGAGGCTGTTGGTAATCACAGAATTATAACTGCATATTACTCCCAAGAGCAGGTTATGAGATTATATGAAGATACACAGAAAGGCCCCAAGAAAGAGAGCCAAAAGCAACCTTTGTATGCAGGGATGGCTTTGTTCACTCGACAATTCCTAACGACCACTAATATAGCTGTGCTTTACTGGTATGGAGGGAAGCTCTTGTACCAGGGTGATATCACATACAAGCACATGTTCCAAACATTCTACATTGTGGTAACAGCAGGGATACTAATCGCTGAGGCAGGGAGCATGACTGAGGATTTGTCTGTGGGAACAAATGCCTTAAAATCGATCTTTACAATTTTAAAAAGAGATGGCAAGATGGACCCATTAAAGCATGATGCTCTTAACCCAACAAGGATAAATGGGCAGATACAACTAAGAGAGGTGGACTTTGTTTACCTGACGAGACCAACAAAGATGGTCCTTAACGGTTTGAGCTTGAAGATCGAAGCTGGAGAAGTTGCAGCTCTTGTTGGAACAAGTGGATCTGGAAAATCAACAATTATTGGAATGATTCAGAGATTCTATGACCCGACAAAGGGTTCTGTGGAAGTGGACGGAATTGACATCAAATGTTACAACCTCAAAGCATTACGGTCATTTATTGCATGGGTGGGCCAGGAGCCCACCCTATTTGCAGGTACAGTAAAAGAAAATATTGCATATGGGAAAGAGAATGCAACAGAAGCTGAGATGATTCAAGCAGCAAGCCTTGCCAATATCCATGAATTTATAAGGTTTATCTTCTATTACACTCTCTATCTTATTTTAGTTCGAGATATAGCTTGTAGCAAAAATCTTCTTCCTTTTGCCTTCTACTTAACTCAAACATCAGTAACAGTGATCAATTACGTGTGTAGTTCCATGAAAGATGGGTACGATACAGTTTGTGGAGAAAGAGGCATGCAGTTATCAGGCGGGCAGAAGCAAAGGATTGCGATTGCCCGAGCAATCCTGAAAAATCCAGCCATCTTACTGTTGGATGAGGCAACAAGTGCATTAGATGTTAGATCAGAGACTATTGTCCAAGATGCTATAGAGAAAACCATGGTTGGTAGGACATGTGTGATCATAGCTCATCGGTTATCTACGATACAAAGATCAAATAAAATAGTGGTGATGGACAATGGCAGTGTTGTAGAAGAGGGTTCTCATCATGATCTGCTAGCCAAAGGAGAAAAGGGTGCATACTTTTCACTTTTCAGTCTCCAACAGCAATCTTTTGCAAGTAACAAAGAAAACCCATGCTCATGAGTGGTTCTTATGTTCATGACCCTATGGAAGTTAATATTCTTAGCTTGATTTGCAAATAAAAGGGATTATACTCCCTCTTTTTTTGAAGAAGAGTTACATTTTTATATTATATGTAAAAATCTTTAGACTTGTCACAAGCAAAGTGACATGAATTCTGTTAAAAACTGAAGATTGAGTACAATTCATATCAATCTCAGCTTGAAAATATTAGAAAACAATCTCAACAGAATCAATGGTTATGCAAAGAAACATTATTCCGCCTTAACTTAAGGATGCTGCAAAATCAAGCAAACTAAGAAACAATTTATGTGCATCAAAATTGAATTGAATGACAATAGAAGTGAACTCTCTAGAAATCTAAAACTAAAATATGATTGAATATATAAGAAACAAATTTAATAGCCTTGTTCTTGTACTCGTTAGACAAGTACTTTCAACGGTTTCACCTGTCAGTCACCCAAAAACGATGACCTCAAACACCAACGGTTGCAAGAATATTCCAAGAAAAAACGATATTTGTCTGCATATCCTCGTTCTGGATGCACCCAATCTTGCCAATTGACTGCTTGGGTATCTCATGTGAGACCAATATTTACACAAGCCAAAAGAATCCAACAAGATATCTTTTCAAAGAATGGGCTATATGAATGCCACGTTAAGAAGACGATCCATCATGTCAATGACTCCACATACAGATGATTCCGTTCCTGCCCGAGGTGGCTAGGGGTTTTCCAAGACCACTCCAAGAACAACATAGTACTGAAGCTGTGTGTTCCTTCAGTGTGCTCACTATGTTAGCTTCAGATATCGACCACACATGAACACACCCATCGGCAGATCCAGCAGCAACATAATTATCATCTGGACTAATACACGATCTGCTCCAATTAGACGAAACTCTGTTCCCACTTGCTCCTAGCCTCCCACAAACTTCAAGACTCCTTATATCGAACAAATTGTGCAAATTATCCCTCCCGCTAGTCAGTATTCTATTGCCATTTCTAGACAGACAAATAGACGTAACAGCAAGAGAATGTGCAGCAATCTCACTCAGTAGGTTCCCCGTCTGTATATCCCATAACCTCAGGTGTCCGTCAACATGGCCTGAAAAAATGGTCTCGCCATCTGCACTGAAAGAAAGCGCATTGCAGTTACTCGGGAATATAATAGTGTTGATGCAGTAACCTTTGTTCAGATCCCATAATTTGATAGTGCGGTCGTAAGATGAACTCACAACATGGCGGCTCGACAACCTGCTCACGTCTACCGCACATACTTTATCTAAATGGCCGGTGAGGGTATGGCGGACCCGTCCGGAATTTGCATCCCATACATACAGGTTATTTGAGCTACTTGCAGCAATTACACATCTATTATCATCAGTGATGGCAAGATCAAGAACCGAGCCTAAACAACCATGGTAGGTTCGAGTTAGCAACCCGGTATTTGTGTCCCAAATTTTGACAGTCTGGTCTTGCCCACCACTGATCAATTTTCCAGAACTGTTGTCGAAAATTATGGATGCACAGCCACCTTCATGAGCTACGATCCTGTGCTTACATATTTTAGGTATAATTGATTCTACATAGTATTCAGCACCTTCTTCGCTACGACGGGCCACACCATCAATTTGCTGTCTGGCGAGTTGCTCCAGACCACTAGCCTTGATCTTACTAAGCAAATCTTCATATAGAGCAGTAGCCTGATTAAACAAGAAAATTTATGGCATCTAGGAAAGCAAGGTCACTCTTCAATTTTCTCAAAAATAATTCACACCCAAACCACACAAAGAAGATGCCAACTTATGGTGTTCGTATTTCTTTATTCGTATTTCTAGAGATGATGATGCATGCATTCCTTCATGCACTACAACAGAATCCGCTTTATAGGACACCAAATATGTCTAAATATCCTAATAGATTGCTTTATAAGACTTGATTTTACAGGACCAAACAACTGCGCATCCTATATAAAGGTGCTACAAAGAATGTTAAGACGTATATGAGCATTCTAACAAGTTTTCAAGGATTCTTTTGAAATAAAGTATCCTATGAGCTTTTTTATAGCACCCTTTGGAGAAGCGTCCTATGAAAACATCTTTTCATAAGACATTTTTACAAATAGTGTCATAAAAAAATTAATAGGACGTTTTATTTCGGAAGTGTCCTAAAAGACTTGTTAGGACGCCCAAAAGTGTCCGATCAACGTATTGTAACACTTTTACATAGGACTCACAATTTGTTAGATCCTATAAACCAGTCTATTAAAACATTTAGACATATTTGGCGTCCTATATTGTCGATTTTGTTGTAGTGACGGATATCCATGTATCAGCAAAGTTTCTGAAGTTAAACCCATGAACTTCAAAGTTATGATTGATAAAATATTTTGTCATACAGGCACGTAGAGGAGCCATCAACATTCCAAAATAATAATGACAGAAAAATTACAAGAATCAAGCGAACACGGATAAAAAATTACTGGTTGTATTAGGAATTACTTGCAAAAAGATCACAATGGCAGACATAAGAATAAAATTGCTGGTGGCATGAGCTTATACCTCATTAAGGCGTTTAGAATCCTCCATTTTCTGCAAATTCCACCGATCGACTAATGTCTTGTTTTCAGCCTCGGCATTGTTGGCTCTAGCTCTCATTTCTTCATATTGAGCTCTGAGCTCCTGATTCTCACCGATAAGCAACTCTAGGGCTTTAGTCTTTTCTTCCAAAACCGCAGTCAAACGAGAACACTCATCCCTGCAGCACAAGCGTAATTCCAGTCACCAAGAGAATGCCTTATGATTTCCCTCCACTCCTAAACAATGCGGTTGGGCAAAGAGGACAACCTTACTTGAGAAAGCTTATTTTCAAGACTAGGAATCAAGGCTTCTTTCTCCTGAACTAAAGCTTTTGAAGCTCTGGACTCCGCAACTTCTACAACAAGCTGCTCAGATAGTCGAGCTTGAGCTTTATAACATTGCTGAAGCTCTGATTCAAGAGTTTCTGCTTTATCCTTCCACACCATACCCTTCATGTCATGTGGCATATACAAACGCAATCAGTTGTATAAAGGAAGTGCTCAAATTAGATGATGGTAACAATAAAAATCATATCCACATATTCAACTCCATGGACAACCATCAATATGCAGTGATATGAGATATATGGTTAATTCAGGTTGTAGAAACATGGAAGCCTCTCAGGTGCATGTTCATAGCTCCATGAACCTCAGAGGTTAAAAAAAAGTATGTGACTGGCGTCAAGCCAATAATCAAAGAGGTGCAAAAACAAACATACAAAAAAGCAAGAGCAACTAGAGGTGCACAACCAACGGGGAATGGGAGATTTTTCCCCATCCACCATGACATTTTATGTATAAAATCATAAAAAGTTTAATTGTTACACTTGCACAAAAGTAACATCAAACAAAGGTTAGTTAGATTTGGTCGTCTGGTGCATTGCTACAAATTAAAACAAAAAAGCATCCTACAGAAGAATGAAAAGTAATCAATAACATGAACATACATCCAATGTTCTCAATATATTATACCCATCTAATAAAATTATATACATCACCAAAAGTTTATAAACGAACAATTAAAGAAGTACTATAATCCCCTTTACAAGTTTTCTACCCTTGAAGATTGATTAGCCTAACAAAAACAATGTAATGATGGTATATAATAAAAAAATAGTAAATTATCGGATCACAATCATAAAAAATAGTTGCATAATTACCTTCAACCTCTATACTAACTATTAAAAATGGTTGCATAGATTATATGATGTAAACAGCATACCTTCAAAATAAACAAAAATGATGTTACTAAATAAATTATAGAACATATATAAATAATAATAAAATAATCAAATATTTGAGATTTATGAATATAGATAACTACCCTTATTAATAATTTCACACAACCAACTTTATGAACACATTTAAACCTCTATTGTACTCGGATGAAGTCAGCTTCCATGTGAACTAATCAATCTTCCATTAGCACTAAATGCAGACTCTAAAGCAACAACAGAGACGAGATAGGAATGGTCAATATATCTTTAGTTTCAAAATAGGATACTTGGTCGCTCTTCACTTTCACTGCATCACAACATCTCAAATCTTGAGATTTGGATTCAATTCATTCATCTAAATAACAATCAGATTCAATTTGCACAACAAATTGAGGAACTTGACTCTTAGCCAAAAGATATCTTTCTCAAGCAAAAAAATTTCCATCGCATGTTATTGCGTTTGTAGAACTCAACACCAGAGAATATCTAACATCACTTTGTGCATTCTTTTCTTGGTATCATTCACCAACTCGACACAAAGGTTCTTAATTTCCTTATAATCATGAGGATATACAAATGGAAAATAAAATTCAATCATTGTGGGTAACAACAACAACAACAGTAACACCCATTAGTTACACCCCAATACTAATCGAATTTATCAATCATTTATGATGTCATATTACCAACGATGATGTTAGATGATCTCACAAATTTTGGAAGTACAAATCAGGCGTTTGATACCTTCTTCAGAAAATAATGAAGTAACACTATAAAACAACTCCAATCTCCCACAAATTCCCAAAGCATTTTCCCAATCTAGTGGACTAGGCAAGTTCTTATGTTGAGACTTACATTACTTTAAACATGCAAACACATCTTTATACATCAAAATTATTTTAAGCATCAAATAAGTTGCATTCCATCTAGTTGGGTGATCCAAACCTATTTTCTTGGAGTATGTTTCTTTTATTGCATAAATGTGCTCCTCAAATTTCTTAGGCTTTTTAAGGGTTGTTGTCTAATAAGACACTTTCAGGTACACTTTCTATTGCAAACTTAGTGACATCTGACCCAATATTTGCAACAAGATTTTGAAAATGTACACAACATCACATGTGAATATTAGTGTCATCATGCATCAACTTCGTTAACTACAAAATATCATCTTTAATCTTACCGATTAACGAATCATTCGTTGACAATTATCATCGGTGATGGAAATTGGAATTTGGATACAGAATTATCCACATCATTGTTGATAACTGTATGCTGAATGATTCATTAAGTCAGATCAAGATAAATTGCAGTTAAGTAAGTTGGTGCATGATGGCACCCATATTCACATGCGTTGGTGCACCTATTCAAAATCTTGGTGTGAAAATTGGTTAGATGTCATTAAGATTGCAATAGAAAATGTATGTGAAATGGTGGCTTATTGGATCGCAACCCCTAAAAAGATTGCAATAGAAAATGTACGTGAAATGGTGACTTATTGGATAGCAACCCCTAAAAAAACCGAGAAATTTGAGAAGGCATGTAGCCATTTAAAAATAAGGTTTGATTGTCCAACTAGATGGAATACAACTTATTTGATGCTTAAAATGAATTTGATATATATAAAGATGTGTTTGCATGTTTGACACCATGTGTCTCTCAATATAAGGCCTTGCCTAGCCCACTAGGTTAGGAAGAAGCTCAAGAGGATTTTTGGGAGACAGAAGTTGTTTAATGATGTTTATTTCAATATTTTCTAGGCAAGTTATTCTACGGCTAATTTGTACTTGCCAAAATTTGTAAGATTAAACTTACATTATCGTGTTGCCTTTTATCTCATAATATCATTATTAGTAATATGACGTCAGAAATGATCAATAAATTTGACAGTATTGGGGTGTAATGAATGAATTAACGATTGTTGTTGCTATTTTTTACACAAGATGAAAATGATTGAATTTTTATTTTCTACTTGTATATCCCTAATGATTGTAAGGATTAAATTTACAACATTAAAAACATTTGTGTTGTTTTGATGAAGAAATACAGTAAAAAAATGCACAAAGAGAATATAGGTTGAAGATTGTGGTCAGGTTCTACAAATGTTGATGCAATGGCATGTGATGGATATTTGTCTGATTGAAAAGATACATTTTGGCTAAGAAGAGAGTTCCTTGATCCGTTTTGATAACTGAATTTGATCGTTATTTAGAAAAAAGATAGAACCCCAATCTCAAGACTTTGATATTTTGTTGTGGTGGAAGTGAAAAGCGACAACGTGCTATTTTGCAAGTCATTGCTAAAAATATATTGGTTATTCATGTCTATTGTTGCTTTTGAATTTGCATCTAGTGCTAGTGAAAAATTGATTAGTCCACATTGCATCTAACTTCATCCAAATACGATAGAAGCTTCAATGTGTTCATAAAGTTGGTTGTGGAAAGTTATTAACAAGGGTAATTATCTATATTCATAAATCTTAATTATTTGATTAAGTTGTTTTACTATTTACGTATGTTCTATAATTCATTTAATATATGTGTTTATTTTAGATGAAGATACGTCATTTATATCAAATAACTATGCAACCAGTTATATTGATTATGATGCAAATGTTAAAGGTAATTATGCAACCATTTTTTATGATTATGATCAGATAATTTGTTATTTTTACCATGTTTTTGTTATATTGCTACATAATCGATATTCGAGGATGGAAAACTCGTAAATGGGATTACTGGTTTGATTTTTAATGCAAATTTTTTTAGTGATGTAACAACTTCGATGTATAAATTTCCAAAAGATGGTTGTAATATATTGAAGACTTTGGATGTATACTCATGTTATTGGTTAAACTTCATTGGATTTGTAGGATGCTTTTGGTTTCAACTTGTAGCGATATAAAATATAACATGTTGCTGTGTTGATGTTATACTTGTGCAAAAGCAACAAATAAAAGTTGGTTGATTAAAGTTTCTGATTATACAATAAAACAAGTATCTGTGTAGATGGGGAAAAATCCTCGATTCCCTGTTGGTCATCCATGTTCCTAGTTGGGGATGGGGAGGGGAAGGGGGATGCTATCATATTCCCTGATGAGGATAGAGATGCATCGACTTTCTGTGGACTTATTTGTTCTCAAATACAGATGCAATGATTTTCTGAGTTGAGCAAATCTCTATAATTTACAATTAGAATTGGGTCTGCTATAGAAATTAACAAAAACATTTTGCTCATCTAACCATTTGTTAATTATGTAAATTGACTTTTACAGTAAAGAAGTACCCGGAGTCCGGAGAATAAGGTTACAGTGAATGATTAAGAGGATAAGAATAGCTGAATCTAGAAAGTGAATGAATCAGAAGAACCCTAACCTAGCATTAGCTTATACTCCTTCCGTCTCAGCATCCGCTTCATTATTTTTTAGAGTAAATATATAAATCATTATTGTGGTTTACTGAAACTCTAAGAGTTCCCACTCCATTCGCAATTACACCATAGCCCCTATTGTTTCCATTTGCTTACGCCCACTTGGCCTAACATGAGTTAATTCCATCAATTAAGTTCTCCTCGCATGAGGCATTTGGGTCAATTTGAACTTTTGTAATAAATAAGTTAAACTATACGCATGTGTAAAGCATTTTTTAAAAAATAAAAACAAAAGAAAACCCAACCCCCTCCCTCACGGCCATCCATTAACAGCATGAACCTCCTTCCACAGTCATCCCTGCACCTCCTCATTAACACTGTCCCTCCCCTCACCGTCCCTACACCTCCTCCTTCCACCAACGTCCCTTCCTCCACATAGGAACTGTTTCATAAGTCAGAAGATCACAAAGGAGCTGCCTTCCTTTGTACTTCCATGTGGAAAGGGTTGATGGAGGTGGAGGAGGTTGACGGAGATGGAAGGGGGAGATTATTTTGAGTTGGAAGGTGCAGAAGAAAGGTGGTGTAGGGGGAAGGAGGGGGGTGGGTTTTCTTTTGTTTTCTTTAAATGCTTTACACACTTGTACGATAAATTTTACTTCATATAAAAAATAAAAAATGACCGAAATGCCCTCTCTCGTGAGTAGCGCGTGAGAGGCACTTAACGGATGGCCTTAACACCTGTTTGGGCCAGGGACAGTGGGTATAAGCAAATGGAAATGATAAGGGCTCAGGTAATTTCAAAACTTGAGTGGCAATCCCTAGAGTTTAAGTAAACCATAGGGATGATTTATGTAACTTACTCAAACATTAAGACAACTATGAAGTTCCTAAAGTATCCCCAATTTTCTAAGAACTGTAAATGTAGTCGTTCTGTCAATTGCATTAAACAAGGGTAAAATGGTTCAGAAACTTGTCAATTCCTTCTAAATAGTAAAGTAATGTTTGTGGAAAGGAAGGAGAAGTAAGATACTGCAACAAAAAATATGAAACCATGAATGACTAATACAAACTACAAAGCTGTTCATACTTTCTAGAATTAGCATAGAGACATTCATAAAGGTGACAACTAAATGGCGGTGACATAGGAACAGAGATGTGCAGGCTCCTGCTTCACACTACTAATTAAAGATCAGCTCCTAAAGTGATTTTCGAGTGGAGGTGAGCAAAATTGGCAAACCAGTAAGAGAAATTGTATTCTCTAAAGCATCAAGAACAAGACACTAGCCAAGAACTTACAACTATTAATGAACTTTACACAATCCAGTGAAGACATCCTTGTTAACTTGCAGTCATCAGCTTTTACCCTTATAGGAAGCTTACTCGATACAATTGAAAGCAAAACACATGCAGCTACATCCTATATCACTTTAACCCACCGCTAAGAGCAACTCCAACCCTAGCACCAAAAAGAAGTGCAAATTGGTGGGGCCATGGATACCAAAAATCGCCTCATCTTCAAGCACACAGGCATTTATGCCGTTTGAACAGGAGGCAGTCATATTTTTACCATTCTCTCCATCACCGGCAAAATTAAGCTCTCTTTGCCAGTCAGTTGAAGTTTTAAAGACTGGCAAAAACTTTATTTTAGCATACGATTGGAGTTGCTCTAAGTTAATACTCCCTCCGTCCCAAAATAAATATCCACAATGAAATACATTTTTAGAAATGTATAATTATTACACTTTTTAATTAACAAAATGACAGTTTTACCATTAATTATAGAGAAATCTTCTCCATCACATAATTATGGATAGAATGGGAAAGTAGACATTTTGAAAGGGGACACTTATTTTGGGACAAACTAAAATAGTAGTGTAGACATTTATTTTGGGACGGAGGAGTATAGTTATTGTTTCCTCCCTTCCAAAAAACTCACAAAGATATAATGTCCATAAATGTGATCGCAAATTATGTAGGTATATTTAGGTACATAACCTTAAATGAGATTTTAATTAAATCTATGACCTTTTGGCCTATTAAAAGACACAAGAGAGCAAGCTACAAGAGTGTGTGCAATCAAGAAACGGGTAGTCGGAGCTCCCTACAAACGAAAATGTCACATATCAAGTTCCAAGTAGAAAAAATTTATGATGCTTCATTGTATGTTGATATTGGGAGTATAAGAAAGGGAACCTGAGAAGCAATAGGTTTAGAAATTGCTGTAAAAGCGGGAGCATGAGCTCCCTCCTCCTCCAAATGCCGCTTCCTAAGGGCTCTCATGGCATGCTTTATTGCTTTTATGGCAATCTCATCCCCAGCCCTACAAAAATCAAATCAATGTTCATTGTTCCAGAACAATATGTAAGCATATTACGGAATTCACATGAAAAATTTGCTAACTCTCATCTCTATGATCGAAATATAAGGCCACATGATGATCTTCTTATTTCTATTTATTTATCTGATTTGTGCTTTTCATCACACCGCCATGCTAATGAAATCATAGGGTATTAAAATTAAATGTTTAAACCCTAAAAGTTGTGCGATAATTTACATCAGATGATCACTGATTACTAGAGATCCGTCTTTCTGATGATCACTGATTGCCCACACATCCGTCTTCTTTTTCAATCAAAGCCGGTGATCACTGTCAATTTCAGAAACTCTGAAGACGATGAACAGTGTAACCTGCAGATATCCATGAGCACCAGATCGTTCAAATTTCTAACCTGTCGTAACAAATTAAAGATTCATTCCAATCAGCACATTCCTCGTGAAATTGAAAAATACACCCCCGAATTAACTTTCTGGGAAGAAAAAGTTTATTACGAAAGGGAATTGGAAAAATGTAGAGTGGAAATCGATCAAATCATGAAATGGTTTACCCCAAATATTTCCTATCCAAAACGTCAAAATGAAACGAACCAGCTTTTCTTCTTGGAAATACTATCGAAACCTTTTATCGATGAGCTTCCAAAAAGAACATACCATGTTCATAGAATGAAAACAAGACACGGGACAAGAAGTTAAACAAGATGCCTACTTTGCAAAAGGGCAGTCCACAAACAAGTGCCACAGGTTTTTCCACCAAGAATACGATCGCAAGGCACCGTTACTTCCCGTGCTTGGAGGTTGGCAATACGTTACGGACCGCTCTCCATGCGAAATTCCCAACTTTACGAGGGATATTTGCATGCCAATTTTTTGACCATTTTCCTTTTACCAAGTACTGAGAAACTGGTTCTAACACCGTTTACTCTTCGTTTGGGCTTCCATGCCAGATAATTCGATCAGTAACAAATCCCCTTCACATCCCGTGGTTGTTGCAGCTTGACTTCGTTCCAATCAAGGGTGTTCGGTAGGAAAAGATTTCGCCCTCGCAGGTCGTGCAACTCCTCCTTGATTGGTGTTTCAATCCTCACATTACGTTCATTGCGCAACCAAGGATCTTTCCATACACGAATAGCGTTCCCCGAGCCTCGAGAATTCCAAATACTCCTCCAAACGAATCTTGGTGAGTGCCCCAAATGAGCCTCGAGAAAGTCCCCCGTGGATACTATTTAGCTTTGGAAATCTTGACATGAGACGCCATCCCTGTTTTCCCAACATCGTCAAGTTAAAAGCACTGAAGTTTCGAAATCCAAGACCACCGTTAACGGATGGTGTTACATGCACCCATTCTGAGTCAAATCAAAATATTAATAATGAAAAAGAAAAAAAGTATATTAATCTTGATGTATGTTAAAGAAGAATAAATACCTACAAACTAAGAGATCATTTGGTTATGGGTTTGAGTTTGTAAAGATCCCACAAAGTTGATTACATTTCAGATTTTGATCAAGATCCGACTTGAAATAGTACAACAATTTGGACTTTTCAACAAACAAAAATACACAAATTAGACCCCCACCACCACCACCCTCTACACTTTCTGTAAATTTTACAATCTTTGTAATAACTAGTTACGACTTCTATCGATACAATCCACACTCCTACGAGGCCGTTCAGCCATTGTATCGGTGCTTATTCGGGGTTTTTCATGGTACTCCACGCTCCTCCGAGACCTCTCCATATGCTCATAAGGTATTCTTAGCTTTCCTATTTTGTCATCTTTCTGATCAAACTTGAAAGCATGCAGTTCATTAAGGTCGTTCAAGTTTTCTTTCCTGCTTGTGCTTTTCCTCGGAGCTTCGAAACAATCTGTGCTCTTCCTCCTACTAGAATGATGGTGGTGGTTGCCGGTGGTGGAGGATTGGTCCACGCTTTTCCTTGAATTGCTGCCCCTCCGTAATGAAGGTGGCTTTTCGATGGTGGAAATGAATTTCTTCAGGTGTTTAATGTATTCTGGATACAGCTCCAGGTTACAGTGTTTTCCCCCTTTGATCCATAATGGTTCGTATTTCTCTTGGCATAGTTCCCAGAGTTGTTTCCCATGAGAACAATCGACCACCTCATCGGAAGTTCCCTGCAAGTTTTCATCAAATCAAGGTTGCAGGCTCGTCCCATAGAAAGCAATTTATAATCATACAAGTTGATACGGAAAATACTTGATATGGAAAAAAATTCTGTCGAAAGAAAGTTCAGTTATAATCATACAAGTTGCAAAATTTTCTTGACATTCGTTTTTACTGTTTATTCCCCATTCGCTATTCTCGATTTCGTGGGTCTCATCTCTATTCTCCTTGTGTTTGCTCTAAGGGTGTTTTGACTTTTATGGGTGAATAATGTGTTATTTAATACTGTCAGATGTCAGTTAAGAAGATTTTTAGGAGAATATGGCAGTGCTCTTTTTTCCTCAAGGCTTTACATTACCAAAACAACTTTTGAAGTCCAAAATCAAATTTTGATCTTTCAAGTTTAACAAAATGTGTTGGTCCCATTTAATTCACTTGAAAAATGGAAAAATGAAATGAAAAGATGTTTGTAGAATGTACTGGTAGCTCAGTAGCTGAGTCGGCAATGGAGGTGCAAGAGAAGTTGGAGCAGTGGAGGGTTGCATTGGAAACACAAGGCTTACGCATTAACCGCTCTAAGACTGAGTATTCATGGTGCAATTGTTGTGGGGAGTGTATTGACGAGGGGGTGAAAGTCAACATTGGGGAACAAAGGGTACCCCAAAAGATAGTTTCAAGTATCTCGGCTAAATGATTCAAAAGTGGGGTTAGATCGAGGATGACATAACACATTGCATAAAGACGGGGTGGCTAAAGTAGAGAGTTGTCATGGGGGTGTTATGTAACAAGGTCCAGTTAAAACCAAAGGGAAAATTTTACACGGTAGCCATCATACATGTTGTATGGGTTGGATTGTTAGACGATAAGGAAGGCCAGTGAGAGGAAGATGTAAGTTGCAGAAATGACGATGCTTAGATGGACTTATGGTAAAACCATGTTTAACAGGATGAACAAGGTCTTCCAAATAGTGTTGGGAGTTGCGCCTATCACGAATAAGCTGAGGCAGGGAAGATTGCAATCATTTGTTGTTCATAAGAGACAAATGGTGGCTCTAGTGAAGAGGATCTCATAGTGTGACGGTCAAGGGGCAAGGAGGAGGAGTAAGCCGAGGAGGACGTGGGATGAGCAACTGAGGTTGGACATAGCAACCTTGGGCATTTTCGAGGACATGACCTCTAATAGGAGTTCGTAGAGATGCAAGACCAGGGGTAGGATGTGTAGCTAACATATAAGGGAGGAAAGGAGCTGGAGAGGTAAAAGGTAGGGGATAGGGTTAGTGAGTCAGTGGTAAAGTTACCAAATCCCTGAGTTATAGTAGGATTGTATTGTATCCATACCTTGGTTATGTTTTTTGTAAATGTTTCTATTTGTATGTTATTGTGTATGCATAACTAGCTTTTCAATATTTATCTTATCTATCTTTCGCTCTTTCACACACCTTTCACAAGTCGGGGCTCTTCATGGAAGCAGTCACTCTACTCTTCAAGGTAAAGAGTAAAGAGCATGTCCGCATACATCATACCGCCCCAACCCCACCTTAGGATGGGATATAATGGGCTCGTTTGGTTTGGTTTGGCTTGGTTTTTCTTTATGGCAACATTTAAGCTATCCTAGGGATTTCCATTGGCAAATTAACTGAATCATCCTCGTTAAGATGATTGGTATCAGAGGAAAAGCAATTTATCACTGATAATAAGAAAGATGGGAACAATGTTTATGCGCTGCACATAATAAAGTGAAAAAGATTACAAGAATGTTGCTTACATGGATGACGAGAACAGGGCACTTCACAAATTGAATTTTGTCAATGTTCTGCACAATAGGAATCAAGAATCTCGAGTTCAGAAAAAATGATTTATACATGATCTATCAGCAAAATGAAATGCGTTCACACCTTATAGATGTCAAACCAGTATGTGTGCTTAACAGGGTACATGACTCTCAAGCCCGATAATATAGGACTATGCAAAACAACAGCTCTTAATCGAGGTAAACGAGCAGCAAGATTCACAGTGGGGCCACTCCCGACAGATTGGCCATAAAGAATTATATCTTCTTGCTTTGTATTGTAGCTCTCTTCCAAACACTTGTATGCAGCTTCAATATCGGCATAAGTGTTGTGCTCACTTGGCTGGAAAAATCCAAAACAGAGCATACATATAACATTTCTTGATTAAAAACAATTCGACATCTTTATAGAAGTTCAATGATTTAAGCACCTTTCCAGATGACTGCCCATATCCAGAGTAGTCATACCTGCATACAGAAACGAAAATATAACTTTTGTATGTACAAAGAACTCAAATGGATGAAAAATGAAAGTAGATTGTAGCATACAGCATTCAATCGGTGCCAGATCACAGAAAATTGGATTAATACTGGTAATTGGAACTAAAGACATCTAAGTGAACACAAAGTAAACATGCTTAACCCCAAATTTATCATCTATTTCCCCCCTTAATTACTTCTGCACTGCAAATAAAAGATGAAATCTTTTTATGCACGAATTAAGCCCCAAATAACAACACAATAACAAACACTTCAAGTAAAGTGAAAGAAGATAGCATTCAACCCACAAAATCTTCAAGAATCCAGCTAATTCATCAATATACAATCCATGGATGTCTACGATATCATCAATTGTATATATGTTTAGCCACCTCCATGGATGATTCTATCATATACGTAAACTAAATGAAAGTTCATAAATAGTAAAAATTAGGGCACGATTATTACTAACCCCATGAGATTAACTTTCAGATGGATGCTCAAATCAATGAAGAGTTCATACATCTGACCAATATCAGCAGCATTCCCATGCGAATAAAGTATTGTGCGAGTAGCCATCGGATACCTAACGTACACCGCAACGATCTTATTCCCTCGACGAGTGGGTAACTTGAGAACATCGACATTTTCACGGTGAGGAAACCTGTCCAAGAGCAACAACCCACTTGATTTCTCGGTAACTAGCTTGTAAAACGGTGGATTTGGTGGGAAAAACGCCAACTTGGCCGCCATTGATGACGTCACACCTCCCATCTCCGGCCCCTTGACACAAAATTTGATTTGTGGGTGAGATAAACTTAGGAGGATCTGCGTGGGTGATCGACGTAGGATTGAAGAAACAGGGTGTCGTTTGAGCAGCAAGAATTAATTGGGGGAAGACGAAGAAGGGAGTGGAGTGATGGTTACCGGTGAAGAGACGACGGCCACAATATACTGTTTTTATTTATTTTCCGGATCCAGAAGCGTACATAAAACAAAGGAACCATCCTAAATCAAAACAAAACCAAAATCCTTTACTTTTTTTATTTATTTTTTAAATTATTATTTAAAAGTTGCAATTATTTTTCTTTCCATTCAAATTTATTGAATATCATAAGAACTAAGAATCTTATACGGTAAGAGCGAATCAAGAACCATGAGTCTTACTCAATGAGTGAGAACGAATCAAGAACCATGAGTCTTACTCAATGAGTGAGGGTCACGACTATTATCATGGTAAACGCTTACCGGGTGAATTGTTGCATACAATGTCGTTTTGATGAACTAAAATCTTACCTGGTAAGTAAATAATAGTGTAAAATTTTAACGATAAACACTTATCGGGTAAGTATTTGGTAAAACGGTCCCTTAAATCTCTTGTTTTTATGTAGATTTCCAAAATTACCCTTCAAGAAAAAGAATAACTTATGTAAATTCCCAAAATTACCCTTTTGGAAAGATGCAAAAAACTTTCTTGGAGAAATAATATTATATGGTAGGGGGGCATTTGGTGTAAATCCAAATAAGATATGGTTATTTATTATTAATATTAATATTATTATGGTTTTTGGGTAAATGTGATGTAATAGAAATAAGGCTAAATTTAGTGGATTTATGGAGAACGACGGGACATGTGTCCCCGTTTGCTTTTTTGCGGGAACATGGTTCGGGGGTGGGGGTTACCCCCTTCTTCTCCTTTTGTCTTTATGTCCTTCTCTTTTATTTTTTTATTTTTATCCTAAAATCACTTTTTTAAATAAATAAATAAATATATATATATATATATAGTAAATAGAACAAACAAACTCACACACTTTTTTTATAATTGGTGAGGTTTGAATCTCTGATCTCATAGGAGGCCAAAGACTTATATATCGCTAGGTCAAACACCATTTAGTACAAAATCATATATTTGATTATAAGAATTTAAGTTTGTGTAAGGAAAGGGTAGTTTGTTTATGTTTGTTTTTTTAATTAAAATTCTTTTTTTTTTCTTTTAAGTTCATTTGATGTATTATTTTTGAGAAATAAAATGATAAATAATGATGGTTGTTTTTTGTTCATTTGATCGTTAACGTTCTTTTAATATCTTAGGGCCTGTTTGTTTTTTAAAATTTGCCTCTTAATTTCCTATTATGTCTGAATCGGTCAGACATATAGACTTTCAGATCGTTTGTTTTTCCCCCAAATTAAGAGTTGAATTCATAAGGTTTCCTCTGAATTTTTAAGTGGTAACCCTAGCTCTTAATGCCTCTTATTTGTTTATCCGCCTCCTTACGTCGCTCTCATCCGCCTCCTTTACGTCGCTCTCATCCGCCTCTTTTACGTCGCTCTCATCCTCTCTCGTCCCATTCATCGATTGAAGCTGGTGTTCTTCATACATCGCAGATTCAAGCTGGTGTTCTGGTAATCTTCTTGATCTCTCTTTGGTTTCAGATTTCAGATTTCAGACGTAAAAACAAACAGTCTGACTGATTCAGATTTCAGACTTCAGCACCACCTCTTAAAATTTAGAAGTGAATTCAGACTTCAGCACCTCTTAAAAAACAAACGTCACCTTAATGAAGGAACATGAACAAAAATAAACATAAGAATTCCGTTCATGTTCGTTTGTTTTTCGGTTAAGTCGAACGAACATGAACAAATCTATGTTCTTATTCGTTCGGTTTATTTACAACTCTGATGAAAAGTGATGTTTGTTAACTAATCTAATGTTAATGATCAAAATCAAGGGTTGGGTTCCAGTGAAAATGAAAGTTATGGTGAGAATGGTAATAAGAGATCTCTACCCTTTGATCAATCATAATTGAAGATCTACACTAATGCAGTGCATCGAGATACACAAAATCAATTATCATGATAAACGCAATTCATGGGGTGTGGTGAGAATAAAAGTGATTAAGGATTTGGACTCCTTTTACACTTTTTATCTTAACTGCTATTTTCACATGGTCTTTTTGTCTTTCGTCTCAAAATCGAATAGTTAATTGTACTACATATATACGAAAGATCGTGTAAGAATAGAAGTTAAGGTGAGAAGCGTAAGAAAATATTGACCTTTGATCACTTTTAATCTCACCCCTTGCCCCTATAAATTGCACTTATCACGGGAATTGATCGAGATGCACCACATTAGTGTTTATCTTCAATTAGAATTGATCAAAGGATAGAGATCTATTCTTACCATTCTCACCATAACTTTCATTCTCACTGGAACCGAATCATATATATGTTATTTTATTTGAAGTTGTGATAATATTCTTAACGATATTGGTAAATAGGCAAATTATTGTGTGAATAGGAAAGTTAAGCTGAGAAACATAAGAAATGATCTGGATCATTGATCACATTTAATCTCAAATTCATTCATGAATCGCGTTTGATACGGGAATTGATCTGATGCATCTCATCCTAATTTACATCCAAGAATAGAGATTCTTTTTTACGCTCGTCCCTAAAAACCAACACCTGATTTTTATAAAAATAATCAATGAGATAGATGTATAGATACATTTATTTTAGTATCAGATAATTAATTTTGTTGTAATTAGTATGAAGCTAATTATTTTGACTCATAAATAATAAAACGACAATTTTCATAAGCGTCTTATCTAAATGTCAAAAGGGGATTATTGTGACTTAAAATATTCAGAGGTCTAAAAATCGTATTAAATCAAATCAATCAATATCAATATTAACAGTATCATACACATTTGGTTGGTATAACCTCACCAAACATGTAGGATCGTCCCAATATTTTCGAAGGTCGTGTTATGCGCATACTAAAACCATAGATCATATGAAATGAGTAACAAACAAAATAAAACATAAATGTTTTAAATGACAAACTGAGATGAATACCACAAAATCATTTTCGTTTTTATCGGCAAATTCTGAAATTAAAGAGTAGCTTTTGATTCTGAAAAAAATAGATTGATGGGTTCACAGGTTAGCCTATATAAATTTGGGATCCAAACTAGTGATGGCCAAAAACCGGTTCCGGGCCGGGCCTAAGATTTCTCATAACCGGCCATAACCGGTCCCGGTCCCGGTCCCGCTCGAAAAAGTTGAGTCCGGTCAAGCTTTATTGTAAGTTGTAACCGGTTATGGGTCGTCGGTCCGGGTCCCGGTCATTAAAAAATAAATTTTCTAATTTTATTTTTTAATGATATATATTTTTAATACATTATAAAATTTGTGATTGGGTCACTCAATTACACTTTAAAAATGCGTTTTATTATAATTAAAATTACATTGTCTTACAAAATATAGCGAGAAACTGATAATTGTGAACGTTTTTTGCAAATCGAAAACTTGGTATGTAAATCCATCAACCAAGACACTTATATATAGTGTTTAGAAAACAAAAAATACAAAAAAATGGCCAAAAAACGGCTACAAAAAAAAATAGTTACATTTTTTAAAAAGCAGGCCGAGCCGGGCCGGTCCCGGTCCCGCAAAACACCCAAAATCCATAACCGGTCTCACATTTCGGTCCTATAATCGGTCCCGGTCCTCCGACGGTCTCGAGCCGGACCGGGCCGGTTTGGCCATCACTAATCCAAACACAAGTAAATTTGGGCCCCAGATCTTTGGGGGCCCTGTTCATAAACCAAAATTTAACATGCTCTATTTTGCTTAGAAGTTAGAAATGGCCAAAAATCGGTCATGTGTCGAGCCAAGCCGCATTCGGTCCAAATCGGTCCCGGTCCTAAACACTATTCTCGTATCTGATGCCGGTCCCAAACACTATTCTTGTAACCGGTCCTGACAAAAAACCTAAGGCCCGGTTAAGGTACTTTATAACCGGCGCCAAGGTCCCACCCTTTTTATAGAAAAAAAAATCGGTTTTTTTACATATAATTGTTTTTTGGAATTTTTTTTAAAGAATATAAAAATGTTATTATAGTACACTTTAAAAAATGTAATTGGGTCAATAAAATATATTTAAAAAATACATTTTAATATAATTAGTTAAAAACGGAAACGAATACAATCTGAAATCACGAATTGTAGTAAGAATTGTGAACCCTTTTTTTCCCTGTGAGTTGTAAATAATCTAATAAATAATGAAGAGCTAAAAATGAAAAAAAAAATTATTTAAATATTTCATTTTTTATCATGAATATAGATAATGATAAATATCTTTCTCCATACACCTTATGACTTATATATTACGTATAGAGGGTCAGTGACACAAAAAAACAGTCATATAACTGTTCTAACGGCTATAAAAAAACGTAACTTTTTTGCGTTCTTTAAAACATAACCAGTCCGGGGCAGGCCGGGCTTTGTTTTCGGATGAACAGTGTAACCGGTCCTTAACTGGCGACCACAAACCAGCCTTAATCGGTCCCGGGCCGGGTCGGTCTTGCGCCTGACCGGGTCCATTTAGCCATCTCTAATATGTTGTCAAGTTTGGACGCTTTCTTCATCTTTGTAACTTTGTTGGATTTTTGAATATCCTATGACAAATGTCGTTCTTCAAAACTTTATATTAATTTTTGAAATGTTGAACGTTGTAACCTAAAACTTAATTTGGTCATTAATCGTATTTTTTTAGTTTTTTGTGTGCATTCATAACTCAACTTTACAAATACTTGATGTTGGTACAGTACTACTACCAACTTGTATCAACCAAAAAACTTAATAACCAATTAAGTTGGCATACGGGTAAAGTTGGTTGACACTGATATGGAAATTGTCATTAATAATTATAAGTGGTATACTGTATAAAATGAAAAAGCATGGTATTATATATGAGCCAGATCCAAAATATACGTTTGAATAACTTAAAAAACAAATTATCGTATAAACAGGAGAATGTAAAGCTTGGTGCAGGAAAAACTAAATCCAACCAAACAATTACAGCATACTCGATCTAGTAATTGATTTTGAATATAATGAAAACCCAGTTTTCGATTCGTGTCACATCCCTTATTTTTTTATAAATCTATAACATCATATGTTTCTTAAATC